GTTTCCCTTTCATCATCACCAAGGACATTAGCTCGGCTCATTTGTCCAGTGATGTCCCGCCAGTATCTTTTTTCCCCAAGATAGAAGTGAATGACTGAGAGTCTCCTGCTCCTCTGTGTCTCCTGTGTCTGCGTCACTGCCTGATAATCACGACTTTCCCGGCAGCCTTCACTTGATGCTTTATCTCAGCTGGGGTGTGCCAAAACGGATGTGCACCAATATGGGACCCACGTTCCCTAACAAGGGGCTGTGTGCGGGGGTGTTAGGATCTGAACACTCAACATTGATCAGAGTATCAAAGGTGAGTGTGTCAACAAGTCTCTTCTCCCCCCCCCCCCCCCCCCTGAGAACCTCACGGCTGAAAATATAAATGATGTGCTGTGTGAAATGAATTTGTTTTGCTTTTATGCTGCCACAGCTTCTCCAGTTAGAAGATGAAATGTAAAGGTTTTGACATCTAAATCAGCACTTAACACACGGTTGTAACTTCTCCAAAAACATTCTGGATAGCCTCCAAAGTTTTCCGCATTTCATCCATATCAACTGTGGCGCGTAGGGCTGACAAGTCTTCACAGCAATCCCTGTGAGGACGAGTGGCGACTGCAAAGGTTATGGAAGAGGTTATCGCAAACTCTTCGCTGTCCATCTCACTCCATGAGGAATCCACTATGAGGAGCGCTACACTCTAGATGTGAACTACAACAGCAATCCTTTAGGTCATAGTTTCCTCTTAACTAAATCCTTTTTGTCTCTGCATTCCTTAAAGAGAGAACATGGACAACAGGTTTATAAATTCATCATGTATTTTGTGATTTGAAGTCATAATCAATGAGAGTAACGCAATATCACAATCGACATTAACATGTGTGAACAGCAAACACTATTTAAAACGGTTGATTTCAAAAGACAAACATCAGACTTTTCAATTTTCCAAAAATGGTTCTTTAATAAATAGCGGAAAACTGACTGACTTTAAAAAACATCCGCAGCTCTTTGAGGCAAATCTGTATGATCATTATAAGAGCCATACTATCATTTTGTTCATTGTGAAATCTGATCACGCTTTCTCAATAGAACAAACAGGGCACAGGTTACAAAAAAAAGATACTGTGATGATATAAAGTCACAAGCCTTCGTGTAATTCATACAAGAGTCTTGAACATTTATGACGGTCCTTTTTGCGGAAAAATTCCAAACAGCTCAATGCAATTGTGACCAACTCTAAGGGATGAGAGACTGTGTTTGAAATGTTTAGGCAAACAATGTATTATTTGATCCCAGAAATGATGCCACAATCTGAATTCTTTCGTTTAGATGGAGTGGCAGGAAACAACGCAGTGGCCTCCCCACACACACACATACATCCCTGGTAAACATTCCACATAAGCAAACACACGAGGACAGGACCTGGAAGTCCAAGGAGGGATCAAGACACACACTCCGGGGCTATCAGCTAACCCCCTCCCCCTACGCAGACACATTTTCTCTCTCTGTGGCATCAGTGAGTGGTGATAGCTCTCTGTTTTTACATTGTGACAACCACAGGAGGTCCTGTTGTGCTTCTAGGATCATTATGTCTGTGACTTGTCATTTTATTTCCCCAATGTTTCCATGTGTGGTTTCCTTGGGACTGCTACTGTAGAAACAATATACTAAAAGCCATGATGACACAGCAAGCCGCCACCCAGGGACTCTTCCGCTCACCTGGGAAAATAAATGATTTTAAGTCCTTACCACCATTGTTTTGCAACATTTCACTAATATTAACAGAACATATTCAGTAAATGTAAAACATAGGGGGAAATTGCCTGCTTACCTATTCTGGCACACTTCCAGAAAATTCCTAGAATCCTGAGAGAAAACAAAAATGATAAAAATAAAAGTAGAAACAATTTAGTATAGACTTCATTTTTCCCACAACTACAAACAAAACTCAATGTGAGAACTGTGAAAACTGATCTATAAAACCCAGTGAGTGAGTCATCAAATGTCCATGTTCGGAGTGTGCAAAATGGAAGCGAGGGGGACAGCAGGCGAGTCTTATCATCTCTGGTGACAGCTGGGGTAAAAAGGCCTTCATTTCTTTCAACTTTCATACTGACCAGATGGTGTCAGCATCCCATTTGGAATTTCCCATTTTATTGACATAAATAAACCCTGTTGTTTTAAGTTTCTATTCTGCAAAATAGAAAATTATTATTTTCTAAATAACATAGAAATGTTTTTCTGTACAAAAACACATACTTTTAGAATGTGCCTGAATGTGTTATTTTCCTCATTTTCTGGGCACATCCCGAACACACAAACCAAATCAACAGAAATGATGTCTCATGCCTCAGTCAACAAATCAATCAAGAGGGAAATGTATTAAATCATCCCATCTGCCAGCCTCAGTCTCATGTGTTTGTCTGAAGAGGATGTCCCTCCCTGCTCAGATGGTGTGCGTGCGCGTGTGTGAGTGTGTGCGTGCGTGTGAGGAGTGTGTGCGCGTGTGTGTGAGGAGTGTGAGAATGTGTGTAGCAGTTGCATCAGCTGTGCCAGACTTGTTAGAAGTGAATCATGGAGTTTGTACATCCAAGAATAATAATGATTCAGTAATGATGAAAATTTAGGCCTTCTGCTACTTTACTCGCCTCAATGAGGAGCTTCTTATTAGATGTAAAAATGTGATTTTTGTTTGGTCTTTGCTTGGAATTATCCTTCCAAGCTACAGAGGAAGGAAAATTTGCCTTTACACTAAATAGTAGCCGGCTCTGATTGGCACTGATGGAAAATCAAGGGGGCTGCAAAATAAGGTTGTATGTGGGTTTTGTAAGTGTCCTTATTTTACCCTGAGGCTTACAGGAAGACTCTTATCTAAAATAATACACTTAATATACTGTATAGGAACAAGTACTTTTAATAACATGAACAAGTATTTCTAACAAAAATGATTACATGGCTGTTTAGTGTTTTGTCTGTTGAGGTGCTAGTGTAAACCACATGGCATAGTGTGGTAACATTGATTTGATTTGGTTATTGCATACAATGTCTGGTAATGTTTCACATTCAAAAACAGAGACAGGTATTGAAGGGGTCCATTATTCACTAAGAACACTTCAAAACTGCTCCATTGGCAAGTATCTTAGGCAGTATCTAGTCATACCCAGTCTTGTTCTTGTCTAGCAGGCTGGGAGCCATTGCTCTGATGTAGGCACAGGTACAGATCAAGAGGAGAATCACCGTTAGCAGTGACTGGAAGTTGAAAATGGCCGACTGCAAGAAAAAAAAAAGAGCATTAGTACATACACGATCTTGTGCTGCTCACCAGTAATAAGTGTTCACAATAATAACATGTTAATTTAAGGTATTCATTGTCTGTATCATAATCAGTGTTACAGATTTAAGAAGAAAGAAACAGTCAAATTGTAACCTTTAAGTGTGTACATTACAGTACCAATACTTATGTGCAAGCTTAAACATGTCAACAGGTATTGTGGCGTAGGAAGGATCAAATCCCTACACTGTCATGTGCAAAAACAGAAACTCAAACTTGTCCCCCCCTTGCTTTAAGTTATGCACCTTATTGTTATGCTAAAAAAAAACGTAGTAGCACATCATCTGCTCACAAAAAATGATAACATATCAGACGAAATGCAGATCTAAGATTTAGTATTGAAATGTCATTTTTGAAAGCAGGACTTTCAGCTTTACACCACTTGTGAGTGTTTGTGTTGGCTGATGTTACTAACTTCATAATTCCTTCTTCCTGCATCTTATCCCATCTCCCCCTATCCCATTTTACTTTTCACTTCACAATAAGTAAGGTCTTTTACCTGCTTTTTGTAAAGCGTCTCGAGATAACGATGATTGATTTATTATAGTAAGGTTCTAAATAACGATGATAACAAAACTCAAGTTGATCATGTACATAGACTAAGTTAGCCCTTCTCTGTCTGGATATTCATGTGTAGGTTTTTTGTTGAATAGATATATGTCTTGTGAATTTAGAGAGCCTCATTAAACAACAAATCTGCAGTTAATTCATCAATTAGAACCAATAATGTAATCTATAATATTATATACCAACATAACATAAAAAGTCAACATTATCATGCACAGATAAAAAAACAAAAACATTATGGAGCATAAACTAAAGATGAATCTATCTTTAGTCTTGAATCTATAAGGAACTAAACAAACTCCTTCTACTGCACATTTATTCCATTTACTGATGTTATAATGAATAAAACTTTAAATCTCACATATTATTATGTTATTATTTGATTTCTCACTGCAATAGTTACCTTTCACATGTTGTTTCTACAGCTTTAGTTTTAAGATGAAATCAAATCTAGTCAATTATTTATTTTCTGCTTGACCATAACATTGTAAAGAATGTCTTAATTGAATGAATTATTCCTTAAAATTTAAATCACATGATTTGTTTGCCATATTTACTGAGGCTTATCAGCAACAACGTGTTAGTAAACGAGCTGTGTAGGTCCTTCATGTGCAGCTACGTGGCACACACAACAAAACACTGCGATGCTCTTTGCAATCCTGATCCTCACCACTGATACATTTTGTCATTGGAATCAATCTATTTGCGCTCATACACGACTTATGAATTGTGTATATCTAAAAGACATTGATATTGTATCACCAAAACATGAAGTGACTGGCTAAACTTTTAGCCTTTAAAGCTAGCCAATGGTAGCTCTGCAGGGTAGCGTTCACATTACGTCCCGCTCCACACTGTCTGGTAGCATTATATGGTTTCACAGTTGTTGCCGACATGGTTTAGCAGTAGGGCGCGCATTATACATACCGTTTAAATGTGCTGTTAAAAGTTAAAGCTCTTAATAAGTAAGAAAACTTACCATTTTTGTTTTGAGTCAAAGCCACATCACACTTCCTGCTCTCTCTGGAACTTACGTAACGTAACCAATGACGTTTACGTAACGTCATTACGCATTACTCTGCCGCTCCGCCGAAGCTCGTTTGCTGATTGGCTGAGAGCGAAGGAGTTGAAGGTTGGTTTGCCTGCTGGCAGGAAAGCTGAAAGCTGACAAGAGAGATCCGCTGCAGCCGCAGTGATTTCAGTTTGAGTTCATAAATACCGAGTATGGACAACGCAGTAGTTAGCCCACACAATAACGTAAGTGTCTTAAAGAAAACTACATACGTGAAGTCTTTTCCCCACTTGAAAATTCAAGTGAATTTGGTCCGACTGTTGCAGGAAATCACTCTTAAAATGCGAGCAGGGCGGGGACTGCTGCAGCAAGTTTAGGCGCCTTGTCGTGTACAGTATGTACTTGGTACGTACACCGCCAACCTCAACGAAGAAGGTGGTGGTAAACTAGTTAGGGAGATAATTGTTAAATAGGCACAGGGTGAAACAGCTGTGAATAGATGTGCCTACATTATGTCGGAAAGAGAAGGAAGTAAATCTCTGTATCATGATGCACATTCCTTTGAGTTATCTAGTACAGTTCAAAAGAGAATGTATTTGATTATATAAGATAATATGTCTAGATTTAATGGTTCCAGCTTGAAAATGTGAGTGTACACTTAAATTTGTCCATTTAATAAAAAAAAATGAATTTAGGTGAATTCAACATTTAATTAAGATTAGTATTTTTTTTAACATGTTTTTACATGTTACACATCATACTTTGCTTCTTCAACCCGGTTGAGAACTGTTATTAATCTGTCAATAGTCGAATAGATAGATCTCTCCTTGTGACGTCAGAGTGACATTTTTGTGGTCCACTTTTCTCTCTTGGTTTTCACAATGAAATCCCCTCCCTACAACCAGCCATGGCAGCATCTTGATTGCATTTAAACCATGTTTCATAAATCCCCCTCGACCCTTCCTTCCCAGACACTCCAAGAGAGCTCTCTCTATGTAAGAACAAATCTGTCATATTATAAACCACACATAAATAATGTTTTGCATGTTTAACGACAGTGTGGATGAGAACTTGGTATATAAAGAGATCCGTAATGTTGTAGCCTGGTTTAGAAGAGTAAAAGATGAGCGTGTGTTAACTTGAGACATACTTACAATCCTGTTGGTTTGATAACGCTTTCTATATTGTTTGCTGACCCATTGAGGCTACATTTCAGAATACAATAAACTCAATTAATATGACTTTAAATACAAGTTGATCTAATTGAATAATCAGATTTGTAATTTATCAGGTTGCATTGTGGGAGTATCTCTATGCTATTTGGACAACCAATACTTTCAATGAGAACTGCCTTATGTTAGTGGCTCAGCATGGCTGGCTTAGGTTAGGTCACAACTGTAACTGGTTCCTGTGTGAATAGTAGAGATGTGAAAATGACCTGTTTTGATGCAGCTGATTCAAGGTTGGAAAGCTATACATGTTCAGAAGAGCAGCTGGGGTCAGTAGGAAAACTCTTTCAGGCTTTTACTATGTGTTTTAAAGGACAGGCCTGTGTCAAAATTAGTAATCTCTTCAATCATTTCAACCAAAGTTGATGTGATGATCACTATTCAGATGTAGCTCACTCGTTTTAGTTCAAGATTACAGAGATACAACCATTTTTTTAAATTTTGTTATTTACTGAAGTCAATTAAATCACTTATGTAATTTACAGTTTTTAAACTAACCCATATTTGACAACATAATCCGTTTAAGATGAAATTTTTTAGATTTAAGTCTGACGCATTTCATCAACTCTTTTGTCTACTGAGACAAGAAGTATTTGGGCCTCTGTGGATTTCAGAAAAGTACAGTTTCTGTAAGAGAATGCCCCTCTAATCAAAAAAACAGGATGGGATGGAACTTGACCCTGACCCATTACTACTACATTCAGTCTCCTCTGCAAGCAGGGCTATAAGTATGAAACGTGTTATTATTAAATTACTGTAGTTTTCCAGACCCGGTCTTTAAGTTGAGGCCTGCATCAGTCAACCTATGCTGACACAACTTATTCTTCCACTGTTAAGATGCTGGTATAAATTGAGACAGATTTTCAGGCCTTTGTGCTTTGACTTATAGAAGTAGGTGTTATATTTGCTTGGTTTGGCCTTAAATAGACCCCAATAGAATACTAAGAAAGGCTTTGCAATGGTCTGCTGCTGTTTACGACTTAGCACTGAACTCTCAAAGTGTTCTCATTTTCATTTTGAGACTCTTGTGTTGGAGAAAGCACGAGGTGAAAGGACAGTGAACGGACTGACCCTCTAAAGAGACGGTTAATTGCCTTGGCTTTTTCTTCTCTGCATGAACACCTCAATCAAGAAACATGATCCATATGCAAAGGCTTTATTTGTGATTCATTCACTTAGTATGTCCTGACAAAGTTTTGTCTCTGGGCTTCACATGCAGCAGTGTTAAGAAGAAATAACAATGAAAAGGTTGAGTATAAGATTACAGAGGGAGCAAGAGAAGCTGGATGAAGCTGTGTGTCGTAACTGTCCAGAAGCTTTTCCTGATGATTTAAGCCAGTGATTGATTCTGCCCATCAAGTGACTTGACTTTTGTATTGACTTTGAAGGCAGTTTGCAGTTCTCTACACCTGACAGACAGCCCTGTTCATTTAATTGGACAGTCCTTCTGTCATTACCAGGGGTTCATCATCGCTGCAGATGTTACAGTTACTAATGAGTAGCTGGGCTCACTTTATGAGGTTAAAGTTGAACCCTTCAGCTCCCTCATCTTGCTCAGCACCTTCATCCAGCCACACCCCTTCTTGAAGCACACAGGGTCAACTTTAATATGCTGCAAGGTTCTTTGTGGATGTGAGCATTGGTGTGTATGCATCTGCGGAGAGGGCACATGTGTAGCGCTTTCAGATCAGGTCAAATTTTATTTGACCTTGACCACCTGCTTTGTCAGCATACATGATAGAAAGAAATAATACACACAAAATAAAAGTGCTGTCACGTTCTAACTCATAGCACTGTATCCAAAGGCACTCATTTTCATTTTTTAAACATGTCCAGCTTGGCTAACTGCCAATTTAGCTGTCCTTTTCCTTCCATCTCCACACACTTTGCCCTGTAGTTAAGCAGGGAAGATATCCAACTCACCTCTCACTTCACGTGGAAGCAGTAATCACATGTTCTGGCCTGTACATCCGTAATCAAGTAAAAGTTTCTCAAGCCCTTTGAAAAGACAGAATAAAAGATTTGTAGGCGGTGAACCAAAGGACATTTCATATTGTAATCCTTACATCAACATCTTTTGTAACTGATCTTTTGATCGTAGGCTCTCTCTGGCAGAAGACTTGACTTTAACTGCAGCAGTGAATCAGTATTCCAAGACTTAAGCCTGAGGGCAAGGTGACATTACCAAAGATCTCTCTCAGCTCACTCCTTGAACAATATTGTTTCGTCAAATAGGGTTTTAGTTAACTAGGTTAAAGTGATTCTGATCCATGGATGCCTCAGGTTTATATCTGCTCATGTGGTCTGTTGGGCTGTAAAAACAGTTCTCACTTATCTTTTGGGTTGATCGTTTCTGCCTATTTTCAAACGTGATGGCTCTTCAGGTACTGTCAAATCTCCCAAACTTTGGCCAAAAAATGGAAATGGATATGATGTAAGGAACAGTCTTTACAGCTGCAGAATCATGGAGAATCACCTTCTCTTAATGGACTTTCAAGTCTTTTTTGAATGACTTGAATCTTGGCTAAAGGATATTCAAACTTGCTTTAGGAATATTCAAATAAAAAAAATGTAGGCATTGAAGACATTAGACAACAACTAGAGCTGTTTGGTAATGTTCTTCTATTATCTTTTAACAGCGTGTGATTACCTTACTGGTGTTCGAAAAGCCCACATTTCCACACAAAAACCTGCCAAAACCTGTTAATCTCTGTGTGGTTCCACTGACTCAGTGAGGCCTCCTCTGGAGAAAAACACAGGGATGTTTATTACCAAATCCAGGCAGTGAAACAATGAGGCACAGTGATGAAAGTGCAAGATTAACACAGTATCACAACACCAAAATGGATCGGTTGGAGGGCGTACTGCGAAAGAGGTCCCAGGACCACATACTAGCTGTTGGCCTCAGAGATATCACAGCACAATTGGCTTGTTCTGGTAGAATGAATCATCATGGCATCTTGAGAGTTAACAGCATCCCACATCTTTGTTTTTTTGCAGGTCATGAGCGGTACAGTCCGACGGATCAATCTAAGCACCGATCCAGACACCCCCTACTTCCTGCGAGTGGACTGGGCCGTAGACCTGGGTGCTGGTTTCACATTAGCGCTCACTGATGGCAACTCAGCATGGATTGGAGAAGGTAAATTTTCAGAGAAATTATAAAAACACATTGATATTTAAAGACTATGAATGTAAGAATAGAAGTACGCTTGTACTTGTGCATGCACATGGGAACATTCGTTCTGGTAAAGTTGGATCCAAATTAATTTGATCAGTCTGCATAAAAAGAAAAGGTTCTAATGTCAATATTAAAGGACCTAAAGTAAATTCCAAAGCAGATCCATACTAGTCCCAGTACTTCTCAGATTTAACCCTAATAGGGGTCTTTGCTCTTTGACAGTTTTCCTCAAATAAGATTTCTTCTGTGACCTTTATTGTGTTTTTCAAAATAGTTAACACCATATAAGGATGTGTTAAGTCCTACGTTCAGACTCATAATACATATTGTTAGATTGTTGCAAATCTACAGAACAGCTAAAATAATTCACACTGTTGCAATCTCAGATTAAATGTGTTGTAACTGAACCCAAATCTATACTATAACTAGACAGGGTCACCAGGTCTACTACTCTTCTAAGACTCTCCACATGTAGGCACCTGGCTGAACCTCATCTCATTATGTGGAAACTGTTGGTCCTTTAACCAGAGGGACAGCAGTGACCTTGTTTCATCGTGGCTCTTCACTATTGTGCTACAGCTTACAGGTGTATAAAGTAGATTAAACTCTACAAGGTTGTCTTTGTGTGCGCTTGTGTGTGTGTGTGTGTGTGTGTGTGTGTGTGTGTCTGTTATGCCAAGAGCACATTTTCCCTGGAAGGACACCTGGAACATAAATGCTCCCTAGTTTTCTATTGCTGTCCATCTGCACAGTTGACAGGCAGAGATGAGGTTGTGACAGCTATGTGCGGGCTTCTGGGTTGTCAGTGTTTCTGTGTTTGATGTGCTAATTGGGACCCTCAACCTCATGTTAGCAGCTGTGCAACAGCTGATGACATTCCCCTTTGGTTTTTCTGCATGCTTCCTTTTAAATCAGCCGTCATGTGCATCCACACATTGCTACATAATTAATGTTTATCGTTTTTGTTCTAGTGTCTGCTATCACCACTTTACCCACTGTCAGGTTTCTCTCAACTATGTGACTTTAAAATGCCAAAATGCCAAAAAAAAAGCCTTCTTTGTGTCCAGTTTCAGAAGACGAGGTGACAAAAGAGGCCAAAGATATGGAAGTCACACGAGGAAAATATGTTGAGGACCTTCTTCGAGCACTAACAGGAGGTGAAGAGGGGAGAGGATCAGGAAGGAGAGGGGGCGACAAGAACGTGTATTCTTTCCAACTCACACCAGACCACTGCCAGCTGTCGTATCAGAAGATCTGTAATGACATCTCGGTGAGCAATGGCTTTGTGTGGATTTTAGTTTTATTTTATGGCTTAAATGCATACACAAGCAGGAAACTTGAAAGCTGTCTTCAGATAGAAAATGTCTCCTCTAATAATTTAAAATGGAAATAAAAAAAGTTGATCCCGGCACACTTTTAGTGCAGGGCGTTCAAGGACATTTAAGTACATCTCTGCAACTTTAAATCCATATTGTTAACTTGTTGTGACATGAATATTATAATGTTCACAGTTGCAGTTGACAAAACTCATTATTTTGCTCTTCAAAGCACACAGATTCTCTAGATTTTTGTCCTTATCTCACCAGTACCTGAAGCACATTAACATATAGGGTTGTTGGCAAAAAACAAACAAACAATGAACAATCAACCCTCAGTCATCATTGTTCAGGGACAATACACAAATAAATCTCTCTTACTTGGTTAGTTTTTAAACCAAAATGCTGAGGATTCTATTGAAGGTGGTTTAAGAAAGTTGTCTGTAAAGATGTGTCAGTTGTTCTTGGATGTCACAACTCGTTCTCTTCACTCTTGTCACTGTTCCCTCAGGAGGAATGCATCTAACGACGTATAACCAAATAGAAAGGAAGTGTTATGTTTTACGGGGGGGGCTGTTTAAAAGATAAGGTTTATAGTCTTCCCACATTATGGTCAAATTAGAAAGGCTTGGTTGCCTTTAGGCCGCTATGGAAAAAAGCCACAGATAGGGATCATTTGTAACCAGTCGTCCCAGAGCGACAGTATAAGGTAGTCGTCTAATGACCACAGCTCGTAAATACTATAGGAAAAAGTTTTCGTTAAAGGTTAGGGGGAGATAGTCTGCGTTAATGTAAACAATCAAAACCTCTCATAAACACACACGTTTAATACAACTGTCACTGACAAAGAAAAACTGAAAACGCTAAAGGACATTCTTACATAGTTCACCAAAGCTGACAGGTTTGATGGAGTATAGGCCATGGTGCTCCAGGGAGCAGGTCACTTGGGGTCCCGGGACTGCTGTGCAGGTAGAGGAGACCAGAGGGAGAAGGCCAGGGGGTTAGGAACACTTTGGAGACTATAAAACTAGATTTATGGACAGGGCCATCCCCATCTAACAATGTTAAACAACAGCTGATTAGAGCCTTTTTCCTTTCGTACCCTGACTCCCTCTGGTTTTCTGTTGTCTCTGTGAGTGCTTGCTGTTTATACAAGTGTGCCTATGTGTGCATGTGTCAGTGTCAGGACATGTGCAGACGTACCATATGTTTGAGGAAGCTTTTTTTGGGGTTACTTAATGATTATTTCAACAGAATCTGACTTTGTTTTATGTTACCAAATCTCATGTTTCAATAATGTCATTTTCACATCAGGTATAGATGATTTGACTAAAAGTTGTAGACACAAGTGACGGTGGTAGTGGGCTTTTTTATGTTTGGAATGTGGAAAAGCTGTAGCCTGAGGGAGCAACTAGTCCACACATAATGATTGACAGCGGTCCAACTATCTATGTCCGGGCCCAAGTTTTCCTCTGAAAAACACAATCAATACACACACGGCTGCTGACAGTATTCATCAGTGTGCGCCACTATGTGTGTGGTAGAAAAGAAATCTAAGAATCCCCGAGGAATATTTGCATGAAGTGCAAACTACCACTCTTGTCTAACACCTGCTTCTTTTCTTTTCACCTCCTTTTTTTTCTTACGGGTTCACTTTTTTTTTCCCCAACACGTCACAGAGGTTAAAATGTGGCACATATTTTCCCAGCCAGATAATTTGAGGGTTCAGAAATGAGCAAAAATGAGGCGAGTTTCCTCTTGGAGGAGAAGAAAGGAGGCTGGAGAAAAAAACAGGTGTTGAACTTAACCTGACATTAATATTTTATGAATATGACCCTAGAAGTTGTAATGATGAATGTAATTTGGATGTTAGTTGTAAAAGTACTACTAAGCAGGTGTTTTACGTGGCTAAGTCAGACATTGTCTCCTCCTTAATGACTGTTTAAGAGCCAATCTGTCATTGCTGGAAAAAGCATTATTTCAGTTCTCACATGTGCTAGTAAAGACACTCTTTGTTACGGCAGAAGTAAAAGGAACAGATACTGCATGTCTGCCGATTATTCTCTTACTATTAAGGTCATGGAAATTATATCAATTCATCGTTTAATAATTTGTAAAAAAAATGTTTTAATTCTTATCACGAATTCCCTGAATCCAAAGTGAAATTCTTCTCTTGACCAACCAATCCAACTTTTAATTTTAACCTTTTTATTATGTTTCATGATAATTATGTCACAAAATGTACATTGGATTAAATGTGAGTTCATCTCTTTGCCACAATAATAAGTGCGACATATTGCACAGCCTGACTTCATATTTGAAACAATCCATTCCTTTTTTCCATAAACAATGAAGTGCTGTGACAGGCTGCATGATAGTCACACAAACGTGTGATCAGTTATCCAGCCGTCAGTCCCCCAACATGCCCCCCCCCCGATAATGAATTATGACGGGTTTAACCAGACCTTTCTCCAGCACTCGTTCAGGAAAGTGTAGTGAAAGGCCTGTCTCGATGCGATTGGTTATTCAGATCCTTCACGACACTTCTATACCAAATGTCAGTTTTCTTTGAGTAGCCCTCAGAGCTTAGTTCTGTCTTCAGACCAGAGAGATTTGGACTCTGATTCTTGACAGTTGTGGTAAATGAAACCGCGGGATCCTGGCTGAGACTGGCTGGATGAATGTAACACTGATTGTTTCCACTTTTTGTGTTGCCAAAAAGAACGAGTGTAACGGTTCACTGGGGATTTCAGCTGTGCAATATGACGCCAGCAACAAATTTCACTGGAGTAGTCCATGTTTTCTCATTCAGATTGAATCATCCCAAAATGTGAAGCGTGAAATTATACAATATGTGCAAACACAAATATTTGCAAATCATGCTCATGATAATTTTAAGCTAAGCACTATAAATGAAATGCAATATAACAAATGGCAAATCAGAATGTTGACTGAAGGCAAAAACACAGCAGTTGAAATGCGGCCAGCACACTAATTGCTGACCTACGCATGTCTGTACTTATTGCTTTTATAATTCATTGGCTTGTTTTTGTGTCCCCTCTTCAAATGTAAGCAGATTTATCTCCTTATTTTTGGTTGAGGTTCATCATTCTTGTCCACATTTATGCCATTAGGCAGCTTTTTCTCCATGTGTGGTGGTAAAGCTTTTCTTGCCAGTGTGTCCTCAATGAAACATAATCAACCCATGTCGAGCTTTGAAGTACTTCAAAAGTACTGCTCTGTTTATTGTGATTTTTAAATTTATGTTGGAAAAGAATAATGGTGGTAAATGACAAGAGATACATTCAGTACATTTTTGTTTGATGAGTTAATGAATGTTCAGCCATGGACTCTTAATCAATGTGCTGACTAATGGTCACAAGCAATACAGTGTATGGGTTGTGTTGTGGATTTTTCTGTTGGTAATGAAAGATCTCAAGTCAAAGTCTTTTGTCTTTGTGTATTTTATTGCATATAGTAAAAAGTTATTTTGCAAAAGGGGAAATCAGAGCATATTTATACTTTCACAGGGTGTAGGTATTTTGCATATACATGAGTGATACATCGTCATTGGTTTCAGCTTGCCCTAGTGACTACGCCTTCTGCTAGTTTGCCCGGTGATTTATCTATGCAAGCTTCTTTCTATAAGGTACCTTGTACGGAGGAACACCAACAGAAACTCCTTTGTCAGGAGGGCACTGATTTAGGGTCATGCTGTACCCAGATCCTGAGGAGTGTTTATTTGTCAAGCTCAACAGACACTTACATTGTTGCAGGCACGTGCAAACTTACATTTGAACAATTTTGTACATATTACTTTCATTTCAGCAGAAATATCACTGAAGGACTATAGTTTTACCTTTAATTTAACTGCTTTTTTTGTATATGTTCACAATAACGAGTAAAATTATAAAACACACAATTTTACATTTTACTTTGGTATTTGGAAAGCACGTCCTGACCCCCACTTTGGGAACCATTGTGTTAAAGGATTGAAATGATTAGTTATTTATTCAAATACCTTTTAGATATTACATTGTCAACTAAAAATGTATGCACTTACAAAATATGCCTCCCCCCACCGACCAGATAAAGGCACACATCTTTAGTATTTAATTGATTAGTTAATGTTAGCAGTGTCCACGTTTTGTCAGCCCCAAACAGAAGTGGCCGACTATATAATGTAAATGATGCAAATGTTGGATCCAGTGTGGAACAAAATTGGTTAAATACATTTCAGATAAAGCTGCTATCATACAACCTTTGAGGGAGAAATGACAGAAGTTAGTAACTTGTTTGCATTTAATTTGCTGTTATCATTAAGTTTTTCTTCTCTCAGTGTCTGGAAAATACTTGCACGACTGGCTACCAGATTTGAATCCTGACTGCATTTAAGCTTCAAATACACCAACGCATCTCTCCACCACAAAGTAGTCATTTACTGAACTTAGGTTTGCCACCTGATTTTTACTATAATCAGTTATCTTAATAATATCTTCCTGCCTTGTAACATACATCTCTGAACTCAAGGTTTCAATCAGCTGATCCAAAAGTGTCTCTCCCCCCCCCCATCTGCACTCTACTTGGTACTGTGCAATAGCATTCCTTATGTGTATGGGAACATGGATGTTATTGGAGAGACTCACTGATGTCGCCTCTCACTTCCGGTTCTTTATCTGGCCTCACGCCTCTGCACGGCAGACCTGGAAGCTGATGCCACAATTTGATCTTTGCACAGTGCCCACACTTCTCATACTCAGTGACCTTGCCTGGCCTTGAACACTGTCTCTTTGTCATCATGCACACACTCCTCATCCACCCACTTCCCTGGGCCCAAAGACACAATAATGAATTTGAAATACAAAAAGGAAAGAGAAAAGACTGACCTTACCTGAAATAGTTTGAATATAAAAATCTTGAGCTTGACTTAATGTGTGGATGAGATAAATAAATGTGCAAGGAATCTCTAAGCTTTAATTTAAATCATGCTGAGTTACTATTATATTACTGAATATCAGTTGTCGTAAAATGGGGCTCATTGTCTCTTATTCAGTGGAATAAATAGTGGGTTTGGTCTACAGCGATGTGTTGGACAGAGTGATAAGGAAGGCTTTGTGCCCTCAGTGCCCAAAGTTTGTTGTGGTGGAACTGGGACTGTGTTCTTTTGGCCTTGTCCTCCACACCTACATTCCCTCTTCTGCATGGGGCTGACCTTATGGTCTGGTTGGCTGTCTGGAGACAGGCACACAAACAAACATTTAGACCACACACATGCACATCAACTCATGTTTGAAAGTCCAAATAATCTATCCTGATTATCCTGAAACCAAGATTTTAAACCCTCTATCTCACTTCTTAATGATACTACACGATGTCGTATCCCAGTACAGTATGTTTCATCCCAAAGGTGACCTTTCAGAGCTGTGTGAACTCATTGACCTTATATCAGAAGACAAAGAGATGAAGGATGCATCTCATCTCCTTTAGATGTTTTCTGCCTCTTTTTGTCCTCTCATGCCGTTTCAGCTGCCTTCATGTTATTGCCATAGATGAGCCAACCTTTTCACATCATTGTTTGCTATCTGAAGCCAAAGAAAAAAAGCTATAAACAATTTGCTTATTTGATTTCCTTTTTAGTCAAGTTACACAGCAGAAAAATGTGGAAGTGGGTTGTGGATCACAGACAAACAGTCTGACCTCCCACACCTTGGCAGAAGCTGGCAACAGTTTGGAGGCTGACCTTTCACTTTATCTCCGAGTCTCAGGGGAGAAACAGAAGCTCCAGAAAATAAACTGAACCTTTCAATATTTCTCTTCGTTTTTCAACAAGGAGTTGAATCACTTGAATAGCAATTCCTATTTGAGTACTGGCAGTTAAAAATGAATATGGTGGTCATGTATATTTTCAGATCTTGTTCACTGCCTCCTTCCTATTTCCATGCTGCACAGTAAAATAAAGCTAAACTTTTGGTGATGTGGAATTTGTATGTTTACTACAGTGTAAGTATTCTCATTAACTGTGAAGGTAAAGACACCAATCGTTTGAGCACGAGACATAAACAGCTGCTGAGTGTTGTTTTCCAACATGAAGCCAGTAAATAAGTGTTGTGCTTCTGGCAGCCTACATTTCTGTATCTGTGGATTTGAACTGGTCATAACATGTTAACCCACTGTTCAGGAAGATTCATTATTTTAAACTGTACCAGTGGGTAAAAGCTTCATGACAAAGTCCCAGCTATTACAAGAATACTTTCATTCTTCAAAGTGTGCAAGTATCAGTCAGGTCAGTATGTCGGAGTCTTTAGCCTTCACATGATTTGTTGTTTTTCACATGGGATGATTTATTGCTAAAAGACTTTCCTCTGGAAGACCAGTGGAGATTTAGCACAGGTAGCAGTGGCTTGGAGGAGGAGATCAAAGCTTTCATGATTGGCACACCACCACTATGAAACTATGAAAAGAATGCTGGTGTTGAAGTTGTCATGATGATCAAGCGCAAACATCCATTTTTACTTAAGACTCATTTACTCTAGCTTCACTGCTCTTAATAATGGTGGACTGTCCTGTGCAAACATTTAATGATAGCTATGCCAACTTGAACACGACTTAGGAAGCTCAGTGTCCCTTTAAACCCCTGAGACGAGCCTGCCCTGTATCACTGTGACATACCAATGTTGTTCTCTAGACTTTTACGAGTTCTTAGGAAACTCATCCTCTTTAGATCCCGGGTGGTCTTCTCTGCGTCCTGATGCTGTGAGGTGGACTTTTGTTTAAACCTTTGCAGGTTTTGTTCGCTGACTTCCTTGTTGTGATCAGGCGTGGTGTAATTTGCAGCACTGAAACTGAATAAGCGAGTTACTATGCAAAAAGTTTTTTTTTTACAGCGTTGAATGATGCTAGAGATGTAACGGTGCCTCACAAGACAGTTTCACATCAGTACACAGAAGGAACTATTCAAATCCGTAAAGTGCAAAATTAATCAACTTTATAAACACTTTATGGACACTATTTGCCTTTACCTCTCTTTTTCAAGTTCCCCATGTCCCTTCCATCTTCAGCTGAATAGAGGTTTACATACCACAGATGAAGATTTTAAAGTGGATGATGCACTGCCAGTGTTTCCCACACACAGACAGTACCTGGGTGTCCAATCGCAGTATATGTGGGGACTATTTTACTAAATTACTTTTTTATCCTTGTAAGATTGCCATCCACTATGGATGAACAAATTGCAAATCCCCTGTCTCTCTTTTCCTTGCATATGTTTCACAAGGTGTCACCACACCTTTGCAGGTTACAAAGGAAGAGCTTATGCCTCTCCAGAGGGTCCAAATACATCCAACATTTTTTTTTACTGTTGTTTGTTCTTTTACTTGTTTTCAATTACTCACATCACTTGGCGATCTAGTGGAAGTCCTGATGTGTTTTATCATAAACACGTTTATTATCGAATCAGGAAATACAATCAACTTGGCGTTAGGCAGTAAAAAAGCCAAACTAACGTACAACTTTACAAAACCATGAACCCAGCATCTGCAATCTTATTGCAAGTTGAGCATATCGTTGCATCCAAATGAAGCTGAATGAGGTCATGCTGTTCCAATGGGTAGTGTGTAATTTACAGATTCACTTAATCAGGGTTTAAAACAGACAGGCGGACTAAGGCAGTGAAGCTGTGGGAGTGATGTGAAGTGAACGTCCACTCACTGAAACATGTTCAGGTTCACCAGTAGAGGTAAAAACAGCTGTGTGGCCTGCCAGGACAGAATCAGTCTGGGACAAAAATGACAAGTATTTTATGAGAGCTTTTGAAGATGGCCGCTTTATTACAGTGGGTCTGAGACAGCCCAGTGAAGATTTAGCACCACATTACCTTCTGGTTTCCCAGTGCAACGCGGCAGTACCTGTGTGTGCGTGTGTGTAGGTAAGAGTGTTTCTGTGTTTGCATGGGATAATCCCCATGGCAACAGGCAAACAGAGATTGTCCAGCCATTGGAAATTATGTTTGGTGTGGCAGCGATGATGTGCAAAAACTCACTCCAGGTCTACAGGTGTTACAGTGCTTGGTGTATTTTGTATTTGAATGTAGTTGTTTGCTGTAGAGTTCTTTTCATATTTAAGAATGGGGGGGGCTATGGTGGAATTCAGAAAAAAATGTTAGCCTTGAAGTAAATGTTTAAAAAAAGTCCAAATTTTTGTGTCCATCTCTGCTTACCTCAGCCCTTCACAGGCAGCCAAATAAACCAAGTGAGGAATGTTTTATCACATCTGAAGCCTGCTTGTGATTCCAAAAAGTCACAGACAAGAAGCAACTGAGAGGAAACTATGTGCTCACTTGCATAGTCTACTGGTGACTAATGAATTCATCCTATATTTCTCCTGTTCAGGAGGAAAGTCTCCCATTTCATAGAAAACGTGATGTCATTTAGTGACTCCTCTTTATTGAAGAGCCTTGTAGGATGTTGTGAATGTGCAAATTCATACTCTTTATATTTTATTTTCTACTGTAAACAGCTTTTGAAAAAGGGCTTTGGATTTGAGTTCTCTTGCTCCATTTGTCTGCAGCTCCTGAAGGATCCCCAGGTACTCCTGGGACTGCTGGGAGATGGAGTCTTAAATATTTTTTTCCCCTCCCAGTATGACAAAAATTAAAGAGAGCTACCTAGAGGCTATACTTAATGTGTGTCATGAACCAACTGTCACCTGTCAATGCAGAAGAAGAATGGTTGAATACTGAGGTCATCCCACATCCCACTCATTGCATAGAGGGCTGCTGGTGATCTGCAGTCAAATTGCCAAGTAGGAAGGAGTGCAACTATCAAAGATCCATATTGGGGGTATAAAAACTAATCAATACCCAGATAACCAAGGTCCACTAGTAATTAAAGATTAGTGTTAATTTCCATGATATGTCCCATTAGTTTACATAAGTATATATGATTCTGTGATCACTTAACAGTAATCCTGAGGAAATTAGATAATACTGAGCTAAAAAAAAAAAAAAATTTAAACATTCTTTTGCTGTCCATCACTTGACATTTGATGAATGAGTTAAAAGTTGGATTTTCAAAGATAGCAAGGAAGGGTTTTTTCCTTTCTCTGCTATACTGTGGTGGTTAATGAATAATAAAGCCAGACAATCTGCTGAGAAGATTTTTGTATTGCAATAAACATGCACTGATTCCCATGCCACTGACATTTTACAAGTCCAGCTGATTTAATCTCTCAATATGCATTTTATTTTCTACTTTCCTTCTGCTCCTCCTCTCTTCAGGTGCACTTGGGTTCTGTGGCGCTCCAGCCAGCTCCAGACCCTTTACAGCTGAACCGGGAGATGATTGGCCAGTCCCTAAAGCACAGCAAGGATCTGGAGTCAGACAACTGCCAGCTGCTGGAGGAGAATCATAGACTGAAACAGGAGCACCAGAGAATTCTTAGACAGTAAGAACGCATTGAGGACAGCCGCCCTGTGTATTTGGGAAAGATAATGTGTTGCAGAGCAAATGTCAAGCTCATTCGGAAAAAACCCAGACAGAATCTAATTATTTTCTCAAGATGTTCAGCGCTGATTTTTTTGTTTGTTGTTTGTCTTGTTTGCATGCAAACTCCTTTTGCGTTTAAGTCGTGCTTCCAGCTGTTTATATGCACAGCAGTCACTCAGTATGACATCATCACTGGTTTGAGAGTTTTGAGGGTTCCACCCAGTCTTGAAAAGTCAGCCTGTGATTCTGGGAACTATCATCAGATGCTTAATTCCTAATTCTCTCATTTTATACATCCCTGGTTCTTGACCTCGTTTCAAATTGGATTGTTCATTCATGTCTAATGACTGGTGTTTTGCCAGGGATGAGAATGACTTGTGCCTGTACAGGATGGAGACATCAGCATCAGTCTCATCAATCATTGCTCTCAGAATTAAAACAAACAAGAACCATACACGTTTGAAACATGCGTTGGTCTATATATATATATGTGTGTGTTTCAGTGGGAGTCCAATGTATGTCTTGGCACTTGCTGTTGTGATTTTCCCACCAGGCTGAAGAAGCATGTTCAAGATAAGGAGTTGTTGGAAAGGGAGCTGTATTCACGTTTTGTCATGGTGCTGAACGAGAAGAAGGCCAAGATCAGAGGCCTGCAGGATTCTCTGCAGCACCTCCAGCAGGCTGATGACCAGCAGAGAGAGGAGGAGGCGAGACAAAGGTTAGTCGGTCAGCTAGCTTTACAACTTTAATATTCAAGTGGATCAGGGAAATATGTTTTCTTTTTTGGGCCTCATACACAGAATTGGCTTTTATAATGTGTTGTAATTACAGAACTTGTCTGATGAAATGCTACCCGATGTTACCTCAACATATAGACATTTACAGTTTATTCAAGTAGTGTGCTTTCCAACTCATATGATTACATTTTTGAGGCAGCTAAATTAACAAACGGTCCTCTGTACACTGATTTTCTACATGAAATGCTTTGTTCCTTTAGTGATAATGACACAAGTGCTGGTGAAGATGAGAGTCAGGACCGCACAGCCGAGTCACTCCAGAGCATTCATCCGTCTCAGGAGCCCACTATCCTCATCACAGGTTTGGACGTTTAGTGTCTCAGTGCATTTGTTGCTGTTTTTTATTCAGAGGGGTAACACTACTAACAAACCAATTAAAAATACATTATCAGCCTCCTATAGAATGAACAGTTGGGGAAAACAAATGCAAAAAAAAGAAAAAGTTGAGTGTTTTCATCCTGGTCATATGTTGCAACACTAATATCAGTTATAAAAACCAGATCCAAGCATCTTTAATTCTGCAGAGTTTGAAATCAAAGGGTTTCCCCAGGAGGGAAGGCAGGACCCAACAAATGCTCTTCATAAGATAATGAGGAATTGGCAGTAAGCTTTGTATTTGTGAGTTAACCAAACAAATGTGCATGAGTTTGATGGTAGTGTAAGCTTCACATTAGTATTCTTTTGCTGCATATTTAACTTGAGTACATACGGTATTCTACTAACATTCACATGCTCAGTGTTTTGGTGGAGCAGGGAGTGAACGTATTGAATATGGCAAACTTTCGCCCATTCCTGGTACTCGCTGTGACTTCATAGGTCAAGATGTGACTCAGTTTTGATACCCACTCTTAAGTGTAACTCCTGAGTTCTAGCTTTCCTTGAACTGATTTTACTGTCTAATAAAACTGACAGTTGAATGTAATTGATGATGTAAGCAGGGGGTTTTAACATTAACTTTAAAGCACACACAAGCAGAGAGTATACCCTCGGGTGGCCAGGTTCTGGGAAAACACTCATCAGTGAGTCATGAACCCACCCAGAGAAGTCTGCTGCGATTGCTTCAACACAGCTGACCGTGAGGTGGTCTCCCTTCCTGCGTTGTGCAGAGCAGGCGTGATGTCACATCTGCTGAATAATACCCCCCCACCCCGCCCCCCAAACAACAGCGCTGCAGTCTGCTGGGATAAGCCAGCGATGGCTCAATGGTCGTGTTTGTGTTCAGAGCCAAACTAAAGCCCTCCCGATAGGATAATATAATTGCAGAATACGTTGACGTTGTAGTGGCATCATCAGATTCTGTTGTTTCTCTCAATAACACACGCACACATGTGCACACACCCTGTCATGCTCCCATCCTGGCCTCCGTGAAGATGGATGGAGATTGTAGATTGCTCAGTGTGGGTCCTGGCTCACACACTTCAATGTTAGCCATCCAAAAAAGTTTCACAAAGCTTTATTGTCTTACACACTTGTGAGTGAAAATTACCTGGCACTTACCTCTTATCTTTGAGCCTTGATTAATTGTTCCCTAGGTTCCCCTTGTATTGTCGTTTTTTATTTTTTTATTTTATCGAAAATTCTGTTCACTCTTGAGTCAGCTCAAAAAACATCTGTTCACTCTGAATCAGCTCTTAAACAAAAAAGAGTCTTTGGCCTTTTCTCTCTTGGCCATAGGTTTATAACCCTAGCAACCAATTAATCATGGCCAAATGATGAGGACATGACATATACAGTCAGTTTTTGTGTTTAGAATTTTAGTAAACATATACAGGAATTAAATCAAGTAAACTCCAGTGAATTCTAGACGTCACTGACATTTGTTGGGTTTAGTTAGAGTCCACACCCATTTGGCTTTTGCAAAGTTTGACCCAGTTCAGAAACTGTGTGCACTATACCAAATTAGTGTTATTTTTCTGCATTTACAAATGTACCCAAACTACTGACAAAGTGTGTTACACAGTCCTCCTTTGACATGCTTGGCCCCAGTTAACCCTGATGCCTCGGGGTGTGTTTTCATATGAGATAGCCTTGATATGAGATAGTAATGACAGCGCAGAATAAAAGACAAAAAGAAGAAACTCTCTTTTGACCTTTTCCTCCAGGTTTTCCACCTGATTGTGAAAGGAAGCATACCAGTCAGGAAAGGTGACAAGATAAGAGGTGGAGGAGGAAGAATGAAACGAGAGGCAGGAGGCCGTATGATAGAGAGGATGGGGGAGAGTCTGATTGATGATAGATACAATGACATAAAGCCTTTTTAACTGATGGATAGACTGTAATCCAAGGCTGAATTAACTTCTCTTCATTTTACTAACCATCTACAGTATAGTTAATTGTAGCATCTGCACTAAAATGGTATCTCCTCATCAATCAGCTGCTCATCTATGTATTTTATCTAGCACGTCTGCTCAATCTGTAGATCTTTGAATTTGAACAGGCTAGCAGCAGTGTTAAAGGGCAAACAGGTGTGTTAAGTGTATCTGTCTGTATATAAATGATTGTATCCAAGGGGAACAGGGCTCGTGTGGAATGCTAGATCTCTTCCCGATAAAGCTCACAGGACTTTCGGTGTGGAGCTGTCAAGGGTTAGCAAAGGTTATCTGAGGCAGTATGCTTCAAAACTGACACAAGTGTGTACAAATGACACAGATGGAGCAATTGGTTTAAGCAATAAAGATAAAGAATTTGGTCCTTTTCAATGAAACCACTAAATTAACCCCAAACATTTGGAAACAGACAAGACATCAGGGTTGTTAAGAGTTTAGAGCTGTAGAGAGGCATTTGAGGAATTTATAGTCCAGCAGTCAAGGGTCACTGTTGATATGAAATGAGCATTGGACGACCCGGGTATCAGTGGAAGATCTGTCAAATGTTCTGTATTTTTACCTTTACCTGTGTGGATATGTGCTATCCTGTATGCAGGTCGTAATCTGGTGTGCCAGGGCATCTCTCTGGACCGCACTTTTTCTGATGATGATGAGGATGATGATGAACAGCCAAGTCGGAAGCGGAGGATTATTCACACGCCGAGCCCAGAACCTTCCATATCCATATAAAACCACAGGTTAGTCGCATCACCCAAGGCAACCCATGCATTTCCATATTTGGAATCAAAATTGCTCTTGCTCTGGTATTCCGCTGAATAACTTAAATTTTGAAATGAAGCTTGTTTTCTGGAGCCTCTCTTCATGTGCAGCAGCACAACAAGATGTAAACATAGAAAAGATTGGAAGATTTAAACAATTGTATTTTACAAAGACTTATCATGTCACACAATGCCTCTCCATTCTTTCTTTTTTTCAGTTTAATGATAATCTGCTCCATGTAGCCTCGAACTATAGTTAAACAACATGCAAGCCAGTCATTTCAAGCACAGTTTAATGACCCTGTAAAACATTTTCCCCTCAACTATCATTGAACTTGATTTGCGCCCAGGCAAACTTCTGAAGAACCACCACAGTACCAGATGTGGGGTTCCCCAATAAATGTTTATCTCCCATTCCCTCCACTGCTCGGATTCAAAGAGGGTTGAATCATCACTTTGTCGTCATTATGTATTAAACAGAAAAACCTCTAGACATGCTAACTTCCCAGCATCTAACAGTCAGCTCAGGTTCCAGCGTATTTCTGCATAATTATGCAATTAGTTTTACCCATCTGACATCTTGCAGTATTGACTGCATTACTCATTAAGGACATACAGCACTCCTCCTTCTCCCTCTGACGACAGTACTGGTCTCAGCTGGGAAGCTGGTCTCAAGATACTATAGAAAAGATGGATTTTTTGCAAACCTCCAGTGTTGAAAAAAGAAGCCAATGCGGAAGTGCAAAATCCTGCAGTTAGTCCAATGTCCGCTTGAGGCTGGCTGCAGAAGCATTTGAAGTCACATACACACCCAGTCTAAAAGTCTGTTTTTACAGCACAAATCAACATGTTTCCAGCCTGGTTTGAAAAACAAAATAGGTCTGATTAGATCATGTCTTTATCGACACACACTATACGGGTGAGGGTTTTGTGATATCTCATCAGTTTTCTTGATTGACAGTTGGGTGTGATGTAACGGTTTGTCAGGAGGCTTAAAACGAGCCTCAGCTCCTGCTCTCAGTCTGTCCTAAGGTTAACTGAAAGTTAGGCTGAGACAGGATATCCAGCATGGCTAATGCAAACGATGAGACTCCAAAGCCTCCCGCAGTAACAGATGGGTGACATCACTCAGGCTTCGTCTATTAATATTTACATTCTATGGTTATTTGGCATAAAGGTTAAAGATTAGGAGACATTTTGGGTCTGTCAAAAATGTAATTAGCCTTAAAACAAAATGTACAAATTCTGATTTTCACCACATCATCTTTGGCACATAACTACTTTTACATTTCAGATTTTTCCTTGGCATCCTGATAGAATTACCATCTCTGCAGCGTGATATTCTAGTTGTGGACTGCCTGGTGGGTCTGCCAGAGTTTAAGAGATTATCTGCTTCAGTTAATGTTTAGATTTGCAGAGGTGTCTACTGAACAAACACACATACAAACATGGACTGTGGTTAGGTCGGATCTCATTCAAGAGCTGCACGATATCTAATTCTGTACTGACTCACATAAATGTGTTCGGACTAACATTCCACATTGTTTTTCTGCTCCAGCTACTAAAACAAGGGTCTGTAGAGCAACGTTTATCATATTATAATGTGCTTCATATTTAGTCCGAAAATAAATACTAAAGTAATTTTTTGAACCGCAAAGAATAACAAATCCTGATTCACTGGTTGCATTATGAACATAATATCATCCCCCAGTTGTCATCAATCTTTCAGTCTATTTGTTATTCATTTGATCACCTCTCCTACATTTGTTGTTGAGACATTTCCTTTAAATCTAAAGACATCATAACATTCTCCCACAGCTTACATCTGGGTGTTGGCTGTCGAATAAACAGAACAGAAAATTACTGCAGTGTGTAGCGTCGTTGTGTCCAACTGAGCACAGACTAATCTAACTTTCAGTTCACCAGAAACATGCTCTTCTTTTTTTCATTTGCATTATTGTCTTTGAATTCTTTCAATGCAAACATAGATTTTCTCCCTCCAAAAAACTAACATTGGCTTCTTGGGTGGAATACATGCTAAACTATTTCATCTTTGATTCAAGTGAAATCAGGAAATAGTAAATCTATATATATATAAAGAAAAATGTAAATGTATTTTTTGAGTAAAACTAACTTTCTCCTCTCATGTCTGTCTGCTTATTCTTGTTTTTACCTTTCTTCCTCCCTGTCTTGTCTGTGTCCTCCTCCTCACTGAGTAGATGACATCCACAATCATCATGTACATGATTCAAGCCCTAAATTGAAGGCTTCGTCAATGAACAGTTTTTTTTGGATCCCGCTACAGCTATGTGGCACGCTGCATTCAGCGAGTCAACCCTCACCTTTATACACAACACCAAAACAGTGACAGCCAGGCAACAGTGTCCTGAAGGGGTTACCCTGGATATGCCCAGGTTGTGAAAGCTATTTCTAGAAAGTGAGACCATACATGACAATCCCTTCTGCTTTACTTCAACTGTGAAGACTGCCTGCAACAACTCTCATGAGAGACTCGCTGCATGTCTCTTGTCTTTCAGACAAAAAGATGAACAATTAATCATGCTTAAAGAAGCAATAAGTCACTTTTCCATCTTTAAATGGTTTTAAATCATATAGTACAACCACTTTCAACTGGCAGATTAACAGTGACGAATGAAGCTAAGAAGAGAAAAAGAGAGAGTGACCGAGCAAGAAGCTGGATGTACATCCCTGCAGATATACTTCATAGCAGATTGGGACGTAACGTTACTGGGTGCAGAGAAAGTCATCTTACCCAACAGAGTCTCAGGCTTACAACTCCACCCCCACTCTGCTTGTCAACAAATGCACGTCGTCTGTGATGGGGAGTAGTGGGTGAGGCATCACAGCACTCCGTTTTTTTTTCTTACGACAGTGCAGTCACACTTAAATACCTTCGGTGGGCGCCAAAGAGCACTAAACCAAATTCCTACATAATGTTGCTTTACATCTCTCAAACACTCGATTATGAGCGTTACTTTGGTGTCGTTGGCAAGACTTAATGCTCCCCCAGGAATGGATTGCGTTGCTGGTAATGACTTGGAGATAGCTATAAAGGATCAGGAATATGGAAGCAATTTCTCAAGTGATCTCCCACAGCTCGAATTGGCCTGCCAAGCCCCCTTGGATCTGTTTTGCGACTTAAGAAAGAGTAACAACTACTGAGGGACAACAGGTTACACCCAGAAAAACAGGGTGTCACAGAGACGTGAACTGCTTGGTTGCTGCTGCTTATTCATCATGTCGTACTTGTGTTTTCCTCCCTCTTTTCATTATGAAATCAAACTATAGCCCAGCTCTTTCATCTCCACTTTCCACACTAGAATTTAGTCTGCAATAATTGAACTTCCCTCTTTCTCGCTCATTTTCATCTGTCCTTTTGTTTTGTAGATGTTCTATGGACCAAACCACCTGAAGGGTTTTTCACAGAGGGTTAATATGATTGCATCTTCACCTTCTCACCTCTTCCTCTGCCTCTGCTACCACTTCTAGGTCCTGAGGTCATCACAGTGTGTCTTCACACTGACAGTAATGAACCTATGGGGACTTACTCAGGGTCTCCATCTGACCATTCTACCTTTGACTTCTGGACCCTCCTGCTGTCTTTTCTGATTTTGATGATACCTATATGTCTGCTGAAGACCACGGGTGGCCACCAGGATAATCCCACAACACGCGCTTGCTGGTATTGTAATCCCCGCAGGAATGTCACACTTTCTCCAAGACCAAATCAGTTTCTTGAGATAACTAGATAAGCATGGCAACACATGAGGGAGGATAAGGGTAGTTTGTACTGAATATTTCAGACTGCCACAATAGCATGTCTTATAAATAAATATAGAATGTTCTATAACATGTTTGTTTATTTTGTGTCCTTATTTGAACAAACTTGACGAGATTGCATCTTTGATACTTTATATGTATCAATTCCAATCAGTAGATTTTAGTGTTATGACTCAAGACCAAATAAACTACTCATTTTTTTTATAAATGTAAAAAAATATATTATAAAAATGTGAAGATGAAAAGAATACTCTATTTTGTGAAGTTCTGTAAATGTTATCCGTTGTGAAATGCCTGATGAGACATAAGATGTCATGCTAATTCAATCTTTCAAAAATAAATGTGTTACATTGAAATGTTTTCTTTGCCTTCAGCATTTTGTTAGCCTCACATGATCACACACGATATAAACAAGATTACCTCCACAATAAGTATCTACTGTGATAAGAAGAGTGATCAGAGAATTCAATTTGAGTCTGTAATGTGTCAAAACAAATGTTTTTACATGTTATATCATTCACTTGTGAGAGGTCTTAAATGGATGGACAGAGGACAATTTGGAATGAAAAAATGTTAAAAATAAGTCCTCGAATAAATAGAATTATAGGGAAATAAAATAGGAAAAATATGATTTGTATCACACCACACCTGTTTTGAAATCTTTACACTGGCTGCCTGTTAGTTTTAGTGTTGATTTTAAAATTATTTGGTGAGTTTATAAAGCACTACATGGCCTCGCACCAGAAGTGCGAGTATTTAGTTTATGAATCATGACGGCCCCTCAGATCCTCCAGCTCCTCTCTTTTAGTTGTTCCAAAGAACAAAACAAAAACCTTTGCCAATGCTGCTTTCAGTGTTTACGCTCCAAGACTGTGGAACAACCTTCCAGTTGAGAACCACTGGTTAGATCACCTGCATGTAAAGCAGCCCTTGCATCTGAAAAAAAGGTTAATACCTGTTTGTGAAAGAGCGATGATGGCGATGCCAAGCTGAAATTAAACATACAGTCTCTTGCTTATCATCGTCATTCACTTACTACCTGCACCTGTAGGATTCCCAACATTGAGGGAAATGACAGGAGTCTTCCTGCTCTCCCACTGAAGACCTGCAGTGAGACAGAGTGGCCTTTGTGTGATTTTTGTCTGCGCTCTGCTCTCACTGCTGCCCACCTTACACTGTAATGTCTGAAACAACTTGGCCTTACACAAGTTATGTTAGGATTTAGGAGTTAGGATTTCTGCGTATTGGGGAATATTTCATAAAATACTCTTGTTATGTGACAGTTTACTCTTCAGACATATTAAACAAACTGTTGACTTTGCTTATACAGGCACTTTTGATTGTTGCCTTACTTCTTGTTGTGTGAATCAAACAGATTTGGGGATATATAGAATCATAATCAGAGGTGTAATAAACAATCTGCCCCCCATGTTAAAAGAATCCAGTGTGAAGTGCTCACAGCATTTGATTTTATACATTGGTAATAGCCACTGATAATAATACCCATAAACTTACTCGAAAGACTTGACAATCACATTTAGTGGTTTCTTCACTTCCAGTCATGAAGTGTTTTCTGCACTGGTCTACAAGTTTTGCCAGTGGCAAGCCTTTTGATTGTTACAAATAACGAGTGGTTTCTCTTTGAGATGGTGGTGTGAAACTGTTTGGCCTCATTATTTGGATTAAAGCAATTGCTCTGCGGCTTTTTTAAGAGGATGGCAGTTGAACATTAAGTGTATGATAATGACGACCTGCTGCGGAGTTGCTGCAGGGAGACTTTCTCTTTTTTCACATGACGCTGATTGTGCCTTTGTTAAGTGTGATCTACATGAAAATCTGTTTCCTCCCTTTGCGCCATCCCTCCACAGTTACTGACGAGTGGATAGAAGTATTCTACCAAGATTTGACAATAAAGCTCTCCACTCATTTTATGACCCTTTAAGTGTAAGAAGGTTGAAATCCTACTTACATTTTGGTTTGTTAAGATGAATAAATTATGCTTTTGGGTTTGTTGGCTTGTATCAACATCCCATGCGTTCATGTTTAAGCATGACCAGAAAATGCTATAGAAATGTACAGTAATGTACTACAACCACTAAGAAATTCTAATTATGTGTATGCCACCCAAGTATTTAAATAGCTGACCTGAAAAGTATTTGAATGCAGATTTATCAAAACATCATTTATAATGCTAATTGGAACCACAGAAACCAAAATGACTCTACAGATGACTTGATTTTCTCCCATGTCTGGGAATGCATTATGTGATTATATCTTGACTTCCTCTTGGTCTGAGACCAAAGGACCAGCAAGCTGTCCACATTGCCTTCTGTCGTGTTGGCCTCATCGTTGAAGGGCTTGATAACTGACTGTCTCACACCCTCTTTTGGCTGAAGTACAGTGAGAAGCAGGGCTACCCTGGGAATTTTACGATGGGGACTAAATGAACACATCTTCTGTACAGATGCCACAGATCACACATGTTTAAATACCTTGGTGCTAAGTTGACAACTATGACACTTACCAAAACCTAATTGAACATATAGTCCCCAGGGGTCATGTATAGGCTGATTACAGCTAAAATGATGAGGTTGCAGAATTAAATGCTTCCCACAATCCTGCAATATGTTGACTGCAATTGGCAAAGATCTGTGACGTGGGAGCAGTCTGTTTCTGATTATCAACCCTTCCCTCCCCTTCTCACCCCCCTCTCCTACATCCTCTCTCTTTGTTTCATTGCCATTTTCTCAGATTAAAGTGGTTTGCTAGAAGGTGGGCAAGCAGTGATTCATAAAGTTACCACTGGAACTAGACCCTTAAACAAGAGCTTTGCTCTGATGTTTGGCTTAATCTCAATCTGATCAAATCTTCATCAGGAATCATGTTTGAGTCTCATGAAAGATTTATTCATGTCTTTTAGGTTAAGAATAAGAGATGGGCCTCATTATATTAGTGATTCCCGGACTCTGATTTCACCTTTCACATCCCACATTTGACCTGGGATACCTGAGGGAGACACTTGTCAACAATAATTTTGATCCCAACTGGGATCCAGCCTGCAATCTCTTGTAGACCTATATTAGAACATTAGATGCTAATTTTCTAACATTGAGACAAAGTCTGGGATGTAAAAATGGGAAGACACAAGTGTGCTGTTAAAATGGGCACACCTGGTGAAATAAATAAAGCGAAGCCGTTTCATGGCTCTCACTGGAGGCACCAATTAGTGGACAGCAGGGCAAACCTCTGTATCTTCGTAACACTCCTCAGACCGACTGACAGTCCACCAGATGTCCCTGCTATGACTGACAGCTGCCTGTTGACTGACACCTGGTGCCTACCTGATTGACACTTGGGACCCTAGGACTCCAGACCGTTGTGCCACTTGAGCAGTTATCCTCACAATGGCAGTGTGAAGGCTTTTCTTCTTTCCTTCCAATTATTTGTATGCTGTTCGGAAGTCGTAGAAACAAGTGGGTGTGGTTTGGCTGAGAGGAAAGGGTAGTAATCTATGGCTGCTCTCTTCTTGTGCTTCTTCTAAAACATAGATAAAAGTTTAATTTTTCATCAGAAAAAGGGCCCCCTTCAGAACCTAACCAGTGTTTTATATTCTACATGTTCCATACAGATATACAAATCTTGATCCCTGATTTTGGCACATACGTATGAGTAGCATGTGCAGTATTTTGAATTTTTCGGTACTGATGCTTTACTCTCAAAGGTGTACACTCATTTTACAGCTTATGTCACGTTGATGTATAATGTTTATGGTTAACTGTAAAATATCCTTCCTACATGTCCATATATCAACCACACAATCAAATAATGACTTTGATGTCTCAATGCAAGCAAACATGGCTAGAAATTATAATTGGATGATACTAATAATGCATCTTTTTTCCCCCATGAAGAACTTCAGTGCTTTTTTTCAAAATGTAGAACCAGACGATTGCCGATTTTTACTGTCACTTTTTAAAAATCAAACATCTCTTTACTGTTTCCTTACACAGTATCTGTAAAAAAAAAAAAACTTTTATAATTAAACAAGTCAAACATACATTGACCTGCTTTTGGTCTACAGAAACATTTAAAATCTGTGCCTATGCTGTCTCTTACCTCTCTTGGCCTCTCACTAAAGCTGAAAAGATCAGCCATGGTGGTCTGGGGCCTCCACACTTGGTTCCAAATGGTCAAGGTTCATGTCTGACCAGAGGGACTTCATTTTCTCTCATTTTCTGCTCTTAACAGGAGGGTCACTCAAAAAAAACACATACATCAATAGTAAGTGTGGTGGTGTTTTTCTGTATCCTCAGTTTATTTATGTGACAGGTCGCAGTTTGTGTAACACTCAACCTGTACAGCTTGTTAAATGTCTTTTTCTTCCAGGCATGTATGAGAAGAGTACAAGTATTTTTTTTCTTACTTGATATGTACCATTTGTTGGATGTTGTATTTGAGTTAATTGAAACAGAAATGAATATATCGTCAAATGTGTCCGATGACTTTGCAGTGATCCAAGTCTTGAAAACTGCTTATTCTTGTAGATATTTGATATTTTTTAACTTCCCCTAAAAAACCTGATCTGAGAGCAAGCTCAAAGTTTCAATGTTCAAAGTTTGAAGTTTCTTTTTTTGGACATGTAAAAGCTGTCCTTCATACCGTTAATAAAACAGTTTAGAATCAGAACAGCTTTAGGATAGTGCGTTTCAGTGGGGAAGATCCCTTGGGGTCAAATACATTGAATGCCTGTTTTTTTATGTTGTCTGTAATGGCATGGGGCCGGAGGTAGACCACCTTTATAGGTCATGTGATATGTGGATTATCCTTTGGCCTTCACAGCAGATCACCAGGATCAAACACTCTTTGATTGGTTCTCTGACTCACTGATTTATGGGCAATGAAAGGCAGCAGGACTTCCACAGTTACACATACAGTAGAGACATTTTACACAGCAGTAAATGACTTGCAACTTTCAACTTCACGATGACTCAGTTAAGGAGGCAAAGCTGTAAAATTATTCAATGATTCCCGAATCTCTAAAACTGAGTAGTTGTTTATTATTTTTGGGATCAAGTGGCAAATTCCACCAGGAATTGGGTCAGCTGGAGCTCTTTGTCAAGTTTTTTAATTAAATCATGACGCCTTTTTGCTCGTGTTTTGACATCAGAATGCAATTTGTCTGTGTCAGTCTGTTATTGATTGCAGTACATAGATACTTCTGTCCTCTGTCTTTTTGGAGGCCAATGTCTCAAAATGCAAAGATTGAGGATCATTCATATTCTTGTTATGTCTCTCTTTTATTTTTTTTAAAAGAGAATAAGTGGCTGGTTGTACATGTGAAATAGGAGATCTAGGAGATTCAAGTCTTTTCCTTCTGTCTAACCTTTGCTTCCCCACTTCCTCTCTTTCTCACAGTCAGGCTGTCCAAACCAGTCCAGCCATGCACAGGAAAGATGTACTGTGGGTAGCTGAAGCCTGAAATGATTACAATGCACGCAGGTAGGGAAAACACACCTAAGACTTTTTACAAGGGCCCTTGGGCTTCAAGAGCTATCAACTCTGTCAGAGGCTTATGACCTCTGCTCCTGTCTCAGCGGGTGTAAGTATCTTCAGAAGGCAACACCATGATTGTAAACAAATGGTCCATCCCACTAGAGTCAGCAACCAGACCTACATGTCAGTTTTGATTAATGTGAAGAAGCTTTGGTCTTAAGACGCTTTCAATAAAGGAACGCTTAAACAATGGTATGCTGAGGAAAAGGAATAATTGTTCCATCTCTCTTAAAAAAGAGAAACTAAGAATTGAAAAATAAACATTATCTCTTGCCCTGGAATGTTACAAGTTATAGCCTATGCTATACAATTCCCATGTAAAATTGAATACAGCTTAGAGAGATCATTCAAAATACATCATTCAACCACAAATACACACAGACAACTATAGCTCACCAGGCTTGGCTATCCTTCTTATCTGACAGTAGCCAATCTGGGTGATTATTAGTAAGGAGCTGATAAACTGGTCCAGCCTCTCCCCCATCTGCAAAAGCAAAGCACAGAGGTTCCATCCACGCTTCAGCTAATGTGTGTAAAAATGCAACAGTGTATTCTTCAGGCAAACCTGAGAGCTACCTGAAACCTGTTTTTCTGTGCCATTTTGAAATCAACTTCCATTAAGATCTGCAGCTCATATAACGGTCAGAGAAAAGAAGCTCACCAAAAATATTAACAGAAATGTGTTGTTGGAACAAACAGAGGGTTGTGACTCAAAATCAACCAGAGACATATTTGCACCACCCTGTTTCCATTGCGCACCCTTGGATATGACTGGTGCGCTATACACATGGCATCAACAAGAGACTTCATTATCGAAGAAAGTTGATGATGCCTTAGCAGCAAGCGAGATTAATATTGCCCAAATTAAATAAAGGTCTGAATTTGTATTAATGTGTTTTTATTTGCTTTTTCTGTCTGTTCTGTTTTCTACCTCATGTCATGTGGTCTGAAATGAAAATGCACTCACGCCAAACTGACAGATGTTTTACCTGCAAAAAAAGAACCCACGTGATTCCGCAGCGGTCTGATTGGATGAGGCTGTACCTCTCGGGCACAGGACCAAATTAAGTTTTTTCCCTCCTCCCCAAGGTGTCTCATTCACTTTTCGGATGGGCACTCTGCCCCTCCTCTCTCACATTGACAAAACAACAGTGTGTTAGGCAAAATTGAAATTGTTGCTTGCCAGCACTTCACTGTTTCTGTCGTGCTTGTTTAGAACCAGGTTCATCCCGGAGCGAGACTCTACAACTCTGGAGCATCAAAACGAGGAAGGCGCACCGGGGAGATAAGTGCTGTTGCGCGGTTTTGTGGAGTGGACATATTTGGGCTCTTTTTACGCACGCATGTTACGCACTGGGACTAACTGGAATTAAGGACATTTTCGATTTTTGTGTATTTTATGGAATAAAACAACTTAAAACGTGAGTTTAAAAAAACAATTTTCTATGTTTGACTTGATCGTAGTATTGACACAAAATGTTTCTCAATTGACATATCATTGGTGCAATGTTTGCTGATTCTTTTTACAATATGTCATACATATCGCTGAAATGTAAGAACAACGAAACAAATCAAGCTATGTCTGTAAACTTCTCAGTTTACTTTTAGTTTAAGTCGAACGCACCCAGTGATGCCGCGTTGTCCTCAGATAACCTGAGTGTCCCGCTACTCACTGAGGCATGCACATTTTCACAATATAGCGCTGCGGATTTTATATTACTCCACTGATTTTAAAAGTTCATTTTGAAATGTTAATCAATATTATGTTATCATACCCGCTAGTTTTTTAGAGGTTTTCCACGGGCAACAGGTGTTTATGGAAACATCATGAAATTGGCACTAAAGCAAGTCGTTTTAAACTCCTTTTTACAATATGATTACAGCTCCCAGTTGCATAAAGCATGTCGTGTAGTGACAGTGAACAACTAGAGCTACATATACAAGACACTCGTTAAAATTAAATATAAAGATAAACGCCTGTGTAATGCTTAAAAGTCAATTATAATTTCTTCAATTTCCAAGAAATCCACGTGATCCCACAAACACACCCCGACTTTCTGTTGTTTTCTTCCCAAATTTGAGACAAATATGAAGCATATGAAAAAGAATTAGTCCTGGAAGTATGTCTCTTAACGACTCCCCTAAGTCTCATTATTAATTTCAATTAGGGTGGGTCCGTTGACTCGGGATAAACTTTTGGGAGTGCTGGCATTAAATCACTATCATACCCATCCAGATATATTTAAGAAGAGGATTTTTTTTCATTGCCTATTGTCATTATAAAATGAGTGTCTCGTTTTTATAGGGCGAAAATTGCAGCCTCCGCTGCGACCCACCACTAGTGTTTATACAGTGGGGTGGAAATGAGGACAGGGGGCTCACTGCTGCTGCCTGTCTCCAAAAACTCTCATGAAGCTTTTTATCTTAGCCCTGCCACCCACTAATTTCCTGAAAACATGAGCCTTGATCGTTGAATTATTATTTTTTGTCTTAAAAGCCCATCAATGGAAAACCCAGTTTAAAATAATATCCCTGGGGATATGATATATCAGGTAACTGTAAGATTCCAAGTCTTTCCAAAGTTTGGAAGAGGCTTTTATAGAGAGTGAGATCAATGTGCTTTGCTATCCAGAAAAATACTTTCAAGTTAATGTATCGTTACATATGTGAATCATTGGTTTGTTATATGCACTAAATACATGTTTCAGTATTTCTATATATTTTGCAATTTTATGTAGAAAATAGATCATAACACAATATGATTTAATCTCACACATGATAGAAACAATTTTAAGCAGACCTATCTATTCTACCTCAACAAATGTAGGTTGGTAAAGACATTGTATGGGATGTTTCCTAAAGTATTTTTTTTCTTCCTTCAGATGATTCTAAATATAAAACATATCCTGTGGATTTACTGTGTCTGTGAAGCTGCGACTGCAACAGGTAAGTTTGAATAAGTAAAGTATTTCCCTTCAACCTCTGTCTCTGTGAGTCCCTCCTCTGTGCCTACCCCTTTCCCCATCTCCCCCTGTTTCTTTTGTACCTTATCTCTCTATCCTTCACGCATTATTTTCCTCTGTCCATCTCACTGTGAAGCAACCTACCGCAAATCTTTTGACATAGTCACATATGACTAGCGTCTGTACTCTACAGCTTATCTACAGCAAACTTGCATCAGTGGTGCCTCATAGCATTATGGCTTCACTCTGCTCTTAACGTAGCAAACTGTGATAAGACCCTTCAATTCTTCTCTTTTTGAAACCTGCAAGACTTTACTCAAGGGTGAAGGTACCAGTGTTGGCAACTTTGGTTTGCCCCCTGGGCCCCTCTGGCCCCCCTGGCTCTGCTACACCCTTGTCCCTGGCCTTGTCTCTGAGTATGGAGGGACACCTTTCAATTAGATGGGAAACAACAGCTGGTTTCATCCCTTATCCTAATAAGGCCCTGTGTTAAAGCACACACACTCATGCCTCTGGGGCTGTCCCAGCGCTGTTTCCAGAGCAATTCCCACATTGTTCCTTGTGAACCCCCACCCCCAAACCCACCCATCCACATTCACACACTCACAAAAACAAAAAAAGCAAACTGGTTAATCATCTATCTCTCCACAAGCGCTACATGTGATTCAGCTTGTTGCTATTCTATTTTGTCTGGCATCCTGTCTGGTGTCTGCTTTAAAAAAAAAAAAAAAGTTAATGCAAGGTTTAGCAGTGGTGTTACTTTTTAACCCTCGACAAAAAAATGTTCAAAATGTTGTAAAATGTACCATAAAACAACCCTGTGATCCAATGTGAGTGTGATTAAGATTATTGTCTAGTGTGCAGCATGCTGATAATTGCCCCCACCTTTTTTTCTCTACATGTCATCATCAGTTAGTTCTTATGATGGAGAGATCAATTGAGGAGGGAAACTAACATGCATATGATTAGCGGTGGCATTATGTGAAGTAATGCAGCCATGACTTTAGCCACTTTTCTGTAACTTCATTCAAACATAGTGCACATACACTACATGCTGTGTGGAATATGTTCCTACAGTCATCGTTTTAAGGAGGTGGTTTGACTTTCCAAGAGCCATTTTAAGGCCATGATGCGTGTTATTTTTTATTAGGCAGGGTGTAGTTGTAACACCCTGTCAATGTAAATGAAATGGTCGGTTCGTAGTGTCAACTTTAACTGGTCAGAATGGGAGTAAACAGGGGGGACATGAGTTTGAATAGAAAAATTAAACACAAGTGTCACTAGCAAATAAATTCACATGAATTGAAAATGCATTAAACCCTTTTTTTTGTCTTACAGCCCTCAATACATTATCAATAATAAAACCAGTCACTGGGTCGCTTTCAGGGAAGGTGAACCTTCCCTGCTTCTTCTCCACCATCCCAACCTCAGCACCAGTCATCAGTCCCAATGGAACAGCCATTTATAGCAGAGATTACTTGCGTATCAAATGGACCAAAATAGAAGGAGGAGTAGAATCCACAGTGCTGGTGGCTCAAAATGGGGTGATCAAAATAGGCTCCATGTACAGGAATCGTGTATCAGTGCCCAGTCACCCCGAGGATGTAGGCGATGCCTCACTGACAATGGTCAAGCTGCGTGCCAGTGATGCAGGTACTTATCGCTGTGAGGTCATGTACGGCATCGAGGACACCCAGGATACAGTTAACCTTGATGTCAATGGTAAGACACAATCCTTGAATGTAGAGGGAGGATGATGCATGGACTTAATAACAGTGAAATGCAATGCAAGTGGTGACGGAAATGTAAACTGCATAAGAGAACTTTGGGCACCCTTCTGCTTACTTGGTTGTTATGCAGACTAACCACAGTTTTTAGTTCTTATTTTAGAGGCAATGCACTCTTAAAAAAGGCACAATGAGACATCAGGTCCCTGTCCATACCAACTGATGCAATGTTTTTGTTCCAGTGTTCTTTCAGCTAACTTTGTCTGCCATTGGAGCCTAAATATGGATTGTATTCCAACATTGTTAAAGGAAAAACAAAAGCTGTTATAACCTTATCCATCACTGTCATATAAGGAGCTACCTTGTCCGTGGAGAATTGTCTCTCAGTGGGGCATTTTGAGGAATCTATCAAGGTTTTTTCTTACTTGTCTTTAAACAGTTTTCCTCAATATCACTCATCAAATGCACACAATTGCTAAATTATGGATACGGTAATGCCAATATCCAAGCCAAAAGTTAAAGTCTCCTTGTGGATGGGTTTGGGGGGATATTTCACTTAAGAAGTATTCTGGGAGCTATAACTCATGTTTTGGGGATGTAGAAAACATGGGTGGGGTGGGGGGATACTGGGATAGTTTTGTTTTTTTATGGTTTACAATCTGCACAACCTCTTTTCCAACTATCTGCAATGTTAATTAGGGCCATCAATCAAATCTACTGCGTATGTTTACTGTCCACAAATATGGGGATTTAAGGGCCATGGCATCATCTGCAGTTTTCTCGTTCATTTGTGGTGAACTGTATTGAGTATTTCGTTTATCCTTTGGGTTGATTGCAAAGTTCATCCTTTCCAAAGAAACTGATAGTCCCAATTAGTGAGTCATGGTGTGTGCTTTATAAGACATTTGCCATAATTTATAGCAGTGTAGTTATACTGATGAATCCCAGATTACTATGTTCATGTGTTTATACAAAACTTCCTTATGTTCAATTCTTTAATACCCCCCTAAAATGAGTTTGTTTGTTGACCAGGTGTGGTTTTTCACTACCGGGCAAGCACCAGCAGGTACACTCTGGACTACCATAAGGCGATTCAAACTTGTCGGAATATTGGAGCAACCATTGCTACTTATGAACAACTGAAAGCAGCCTACGAGGATGGCTTTGATCAATGTGATGCTGGCTGGATTGCAGACCAGACAGTGAGGTGAGGCTTGATATAGATTTTCTGAGGAGAGGTTAATTCTTTATGAACAAAGCTACAACTCATTCATGTACAGAGTATTTTAAATGATATGACATACATGTTGTCTAAATGTGCAGATACCCAATTACAAAGCCAAGGAAGGGTTGCTTTGGTAACCTGAAGACAAAACCTGGTGTTAGGACGTATGGTACCAGGAAGCCCACGGACACCTATGACGTTTACTGTTATGCAGACAAACTTGATGGTAAGTCAACCACAGAATTAGGATTCTTTATTTCTAAGTAATGAGGTTTAATTTAGAGGCCCATCCTTTGGCTGAAATGGTGAAAACTTCACATTATCACACTGCCAAAGGAAATTGATTATAACAGCGTTGTGATAACTCATCCAGTTGTGCTTTTGAATTCTGTATTGGGGACATTGTATGGGCTTTATATCATTTGTTGTACCAAACAATGTCTTGCATTGTAGACCAGGTGTAAGGAATAGAGTGTAAAGAAGAGTTAGTCGACAAAAATGTGATAATTGGGGTTTTAAATGTTTTTGGCACAGGCTACAAGAAGTCCACAATTCTCTTCCCCAGCCTTTTTATTTTTATTTATTTTTCTATCTATTGACTACTTTATTACCATCCTCCTTCACACATTTTAACTTTTTTCAGCCCTCTGTAGGTTTGATTTGATTTGTAAGATATTATAAAGATATCTAATAATATTTTGAGAATTGTGCTGTTAGCCAGGGAATGTCAACCCAAACCATATTGTAGATCCTTTCTTAATAAACAAACACATGGTAGGTTACTTAAAAGTTAAAGTTATTGGCTATACACATACAGCCAAGAAGAGTTGATGTAAAACTTGAGTTTACCAATAACAAACCTAATGTCAAATAAAAAGAGACTGTGCCAAAGTGACTGACCATGTTATTGAACTGGGTGGAAAGCATCTCCTCATCTTAATGTCACAGTTAATCAGTGTGATCAAACCAACTTGGGATATATAAAAAAGTTACACCCAACTAACTGAGAACATGTAGTCCGTCAGTCAAACTCTGTTTTGATTTTATGTGGTTTCAGTTAAGATATTTTCTCTCTGTAGTCTTTCAGAGATGTTACCCTGTAGACAAAGAGACATTTTCATAATCAGGAATAATGCCGTTACCTTTTTGATGACAAGTTCCTAACATAAACAAAGTTAGGGAAGTAAATATAAGCTACATATTAAGTAATATGAATCACTCGACAGAAGGGGAAATCCATGCCCTGAAAAACAGACACATTCATTGACCGGTCAGGCACATTGTCTGCATTGCTATCCCACCTCAGAAAAATAAAATGAATGAACTACTGTTGTCCTAAATATGATTGGTGGGAGATGTTTTGGGTCCATGCCCTGCACAGCTGTGGCTTTTGTCAGCTTTTTTTGTGCTAAGTCTATTTTGAAAGGTCAAGTTGATGTCACAATGTGCTTGAAATTACTCCAAATGATAGGCTGTGTAGCCTCTCTTTCAGTGCAAATATTAAAAAAATGGAAAATATATTCATCTGTTAGTGATCCAGCTGTGATTCATGCCAGTGTTTTGGAATTGGTTAAGACTGCAAGTGAACCCTCTGAGATTTTTTTTAACCATGCTCACTGATGATTGTGCTTATTGCTAAGTCATTGTTCCACTTTGCTCTCTGTATTTTAGGTGAAGTGTTCTATGCTCCTGTGACCCGTAAGATGACCTTTGAGGAGGCCAGTGAAGAGTGTAAGAAGAGGAAGGCTGTCCTGGCAAGTCCTGGTCAGCTCCATGCTGCTTGGCGACTTGGTCTGGACAAGTGTGACTATGGCTGGCTTTCTGATGGAAGTGCACGGCATCCTGTTGCAGTACCCCGACTGCAGTGTGGTGGAGGCCTGATAGGTGTCAGGACCATGTACCGTTACAGAAACCAGACCGGCTTCCCAGAACCAACTAAGAAGCTTGGAGCTTACTGTTTTCAAGGTAAACTATTCACAGGGTCTCATTGTTGGTATTGCGTTTATTTATTGTATGTCATGGAGCAATATGTTACTTGCATATGCCAGGTCATATGGTATAGATGTTTATATTTTGGTTTAAAAGGTTAGAGACAGGGATTGAAGGCACAGACTATTCCCTGTCAAACCAGGCCTCTACTGTAAGGAGCTATGATCTCATCCCCTTTTCGACTCTGCTCCTCCACCCTTGGACTTTCTGCTTCTTTACTGCACTGTACACATTCCCACATCTGAACAAGAGCAGCATTTTAAATGTTTACTGTCTCCTGTCTCAACTTTTTTTTTTTGCTATATGGTTACAAAGTTCCAGTGACATGAACAGCAGGAATAGCAGTTGTAAGAAGCAGAGGAGTCATTACCGTCTGAGTAGCCCATGTTGTGTACCAGACTAGTCAAACAGATTGCAGAGTCCAGCTGACCTCACTGTCTCACATTTAAGTTACCCACCCATTTCTCTGGCCACAAAATTAGCCAACAGGAGAAAAAAATAATCAGAGTAAATCCTGTTTACTTTAAAGTAATGGACATGGCAGATCTTACTCTAATGGGGAGATTAATGAGCACTAGTTTTCAGGAGAGTTATTGAACTGTCAGTATATCTGTGTTTCTTTCTCCTCTTTATTACTTTCAGCTGGACTGTTAACGGCTCCTCAAGCTTTATCCTTAGTTAACCTAAGTGTTGATGGGAAACTAAGAAAAACAGTTTATACACTTGAGTGCTCTTCCAAATAATAAGTTGTTCGTTTTAGACAATATTATAAACAGTAATTACAGATTTGAAAATCATCTTAGATAAGTTGTTGGAGGTGTTGAAATTTGTCATTTATTCCACCTTCCACTTACTTGCAGCGCCAGACCCACATAGGTATGGATGGGTTTGCGCTTTGTTGCAAACCACATTGATTGCTGACCATGGGAGGAGGGGAATATATAGCTATCAATCCTCATAAGTAATGACACTTCATGGTTCAATGGAATTTAATAGAATCAGGATAAGTCCTTTAAAATGTGAGGGTTCCTAACTTCTCAGTGTCTCTCAGGCAAAACGACATGACAGTTGACAGTTGCCATTTAAAGATGGAGCAGAAGTAACTAATTACACACCTGTCAGCCTTTTTAGTCTCACTATCTAACACCCTTTTTCCTTTCTCACCTTATTTCCGCTGTCAGAGTTTGCCCTCTGTCATTCTCACTTGTACTTATCAGAGCAGACGTTTGGATAATGGACAAAGCTACTGCTGGAATTCTAAATTCAGTCATCCTTGATGACCCCTGACCTGGCCTTTCCATCTTTACAAATGAGGGGTTGACCAGATAAGCCAGCCATTTACTGCCCCTGAGCTATGCTAACTCTTGCACTGATAAGTATACATGGAGTTCAGAGGCCACACAAACAGGCCACCCTCATCTCCTGCTTTGTGTATTCCATGTCAGCTCTCTCAGTCCTGTTGTATTAACGCCCCCATCTAAGTGCCTTTCAAGTACCCTTGTTTGGGCGGACTCAATCCAATCTTTTTTAAGATTTCCCACTCCTAATGTATTTAAAAAATATATATATCGGTTAGACTGCACAGAAAGACAGGGGGACAGAAGGTTGGTGTAGAGGGAATATTAGAATAATTGGTTTCTGATTGGTCTCTTGGTTGCCCTGAAGGAAACTAAAGTCTCTGTAACAGCAACAGCTCACATCCATCAGTGAGATAATGCACTCTCTTTGAGAGCAGGACCTACTTTTCCTGTTAGGAAAAAACGTGTCTCACACCTTACATCAGAGATAGTTTCATGAAGAAAAGGGGGCTACGTAATCGTCAACAGCTGGCTTTTAAACATTCTGTCTGCACTAGTGAGGAAAGCTTTCTGAAGCTGTAATGCTGCTTTTTATGGGTGTGAGTGAATTAGGGATCATGGAAGGACATAAGGGCGTGTATGAAAAGGCAGATTCAAGAGAAAACTGATAAATTAATTAATTAATTAATCAAACTTTAAGAAAAACTTAATAAGTCAGCATTTAAAGACCACCAAGGAGATATGAAAAGATGAATTCAAGGACTGCTGCTCAAGACAAACTAAAAGTAAATGCTGCAGTAAAGAACTGTTTAAGGAGAGACGGTGAACAGGGTGACTTGATGAGAAGTCAAGCGTTGTCAGGGCAATACTAAAAAACACAACACTAGGTTCCTCTCTGCTTATAAGCTGTTTAATTAGTCTGTTTCAATCAGGTGAACCCTTTCAGGAAAATTAGAAGATGTTTAGAGAAACATTCAAAGTGCAATTGGTGTTTCACAGGAAATTGAAAACTTTGAAGATTGCTACATTTTTATAAGGCATTAACAAACATCTGTTTTTCAGTTATTGGAGACAGGTTATCAAAGGGGAAATAATCATGATATTATTGGCCTTACTGATACTTTTAGATAATTTAGGTTATTATGTGCAGATTAAAATTGTATTTCATATTAAGCAATGCTTGTACTGTGTTTAAAAACACAGCGGGAATTAATTTTAATGCTGGTAATCAACAACTTAATTAGTAAAAAATGTCCCAGAAACTTTGAACTCAAATGTGTGTCACACGGTAATTGCAGCTGTAGCATATTGCTCTTCGACTGCCAGACTCCTGTCTTACACACAGTCTGTTTCACAGACTTACAAGGTATACTAATATTTCTGGTTATAATTGTATATGCTTGCCGTGATGCTATGAATATGTAAACGTTATTAAGTTAGAATAAAAACATGTTTTATCTCTTGTATCTTCATTGAATTGTGGCATCTTTGCTAGCAGGAAGTGTAACAACTATGAATCCTAGATATCTGGCTCAGTGATGTGTCAGAAAGCTTTCTGAAAATGTCATATTAATATATGTCAACATGTTTATTTTAGGAAGGAGATGGGTGTTCAACCAGACTTCTTTTGTTGACGTGTCTGTGGAAGAAACCACCACCACCACCATCAGCCCCACTACCTCCATCCCATTACTAGAGAGCACTACCACTACACTAAGCCCAACATCTGATACTGTAACAGAGGCAGAAGAGTCTCCAGACTCTCCAGTTCCATCTATGTTCTCTACTAGTATGTCTCCACCACGCCCCACACCAGCAGGCCAAAAAGAAGAGTTAATAACCACAGTTGCTCCCACCATCAAAGAGGAAGATGATGCTGATGATGTCACAGTTCCACCAGACTTTGACATTAATGACTTTGTAAGCGAAAATGTAACTGATAAAGAATTTGTTCCCTATCGTGGTGACACATTCACAACACCCCGAAGCACAACAGAAAGCAGTGATACCACAGATTCTGTTTCCAAGCCCATGGAGGAGCCAGACGATCACTCTTTAATTGAGATAAAAACTATCCAACCTGATGTCCCAAAACCAGATGAGTCTCTAATCACAGAGCCAATGTTTGCTGAGGGAAAGACTGAAGAAACTATTCCTGATTTTGGGATTACCTTAGCAATGGACTCTGACCTCACCAACACACCAACAGATTCAACTGACCTGACCAGCGAAGAAGCATTAAGCTCCTCAGAAACCACACCCTCAACCACTGGGCTTCATTCAACAACATCGTTCCCAGACTACGATAACAGCATTGAGGAGATTGACATTGATCATGCTCTGGAGGGTCTGCCACCTGTTCAGCCGTCCACACAGGTCTTCTCACCCGGCCCCTCAGATAGCGCTGGTGTTTTTGAGGAAACAGCAATCCCCTCAGCAATCCCCTCAACAATTCCCACTGACACAACCTTCATGTGCAACACCGGCAGTGAGGTGGAGATAAGCACCACGGAACCGCCAGAGAGTACATCATCAACAGGTGTACACGTCTTTGATGAGTCTGAAGTACCAGAGCACGGCAGTGACAATGCGACAGAGGACACCACCAAAGCAGAGATTGATACAGAGTTCTTTACATCGGCTCCAGTGGTTTCAGCTGTCAGGACCACAGCTTCACAGACAGTGGGCCCTGGTGAACGATTGACCTCTGGCTTGCCAATGCAGAATGTATCAGGTAAGACATAATACCTTGGACACACACATTTGGCACAGTCAATTCAAAGGATTAGCATACTGTACATTAAACTGTGCAAATATGAGAAGCTATGTCTTGATTTCATTTAACGACCATAAAGAGGAAAAAAGTATTGATGTCACACCAGTTGTTTGGTAAATACTCAGTGAGATAAGTCTCTTAATGTTTATTTATTCATGATTTGAATTTGGAGTTGGGGTGGGGTGGGGTGGGGGGCTGCTGTCCAGGGTGCTGAAATGAAGCCAAGAGAAGTATTTTTGATCCTCTGCCAATGACGATGTAAAGTGGTGGAAGTACACTGAGGTCACTCGTATTTTAAAGTGGCTCTGCAGCTGGGTAGTTTAAAAAACTTTATTTATATCAATTCATCTTAAATTAGGACCTCTAACAAAAATATATTTTTTACGATTGTTCCTCCTCATTTTTCATTTGATAAGCACTTATGTGTGCTAGTACTTGTATTTTCATGGTGAGTCATTTGTAAGTTCTTCCACCATGAACCAAGTTGAAGATCCTTAAGTCTTCCTCAGTCAGTCCAGCTAAGCAGAGTCCTTTTAAGAAGTTGCGATAGAGAAAGGGAAAGAGATGCACATGGAGATGGTTGTAGCGAGAGTGTTGATAGGGTCATAACCAAATTAGGAAATCTGAGAGACATACGTTTAGAAACTCAAGATAAAACACAAAAAAAAGGAAATTGAACACTTGAAGCAAATATCTTAGTTTTAAATATTGGAATGACAACCTTAATTTTCTTTCAAAGCTTTCAATCACAGGTCATCTATGCATACAGGCATAGCGAACAGCGATAGTAAAGTTATATTTAAATAAGAATATAGTTTCAAAACATCTAGATTGACAGTTCATTGATGTGATTTCTACATTATATTGACATTAACTAGTACTGTGCTTCTTGCTTACTTGAC